CAAGAGGTGGGGCCTGGTCTGAAGTGAGAGCAGTGAGGACATGAAATACTAGAGGGAGAAAAGGTTCCACAAGTGAGACCTTCAAGGTGAGTCTAACTGGAAACCTGAGTCAAGGATTCTATTAAAGATCACAGAACTTACTTTTATAGGGTTAAAGCAAAGGCCAAATAAGGGTAGAGAAAATGTTTTCCCAGAGAAGGTGGAAAGTATGCTACATGAGTGATGGTGGCTTCGGACTGCAGGGGACACTGGGCGGCAGGTCTCAGTATCATCAGAAGTTAATCTTGCTAGAGTGGAATTAGCACTTACCATCACTTCCCAGTTGCTCTTGCACTTTCTCAAAATCTGACCCACCTACCACTCCAATTTTGGTCTTCTGCCTCAATTTTTGTAGAAAGCCATCCATGTCTTTTGTAATTTTCTACATGTCAGGAAGGAAAACAGGACGATTCTGAGTGATAATAATCAGATGAACTGCAAACTAATTTAGCTCTGATTTTTACACTAGGTCTGTAGAAAAACCTAATATTTAGTTATATCTATTCCCACTTGTTTAGTCTCTCTCTCTCTCTCTCTCTCTCTCTCTCACACACACACACACACACACACACAGTTGGCAACAACTTGCTTTTTCCATTTTATGTTGTGGTGACCTTTTAATAAGACATAGCTCTAGCTTATTCCTTTTTGTCTGTTTTGTTCAAATGTATCTCTGTGCTGCATGCATATAGTGCCTGAGGAGGGCAGAGATCACCTAGAACCAGAGTTGCAGATGGTTGTGAGTCACTACGTGGATGCTGGGCCCTTTGGAAGAGTCGTCAGTACTCTTAATCATGGCACCATCCCTTCAGTCCAATCTTCTGTTGTTTAAAGGTTTTTTCATACTACATGCATATGATTTAATATGTCAGAAGTGGGTATAGTGTCACAAGTCTGTGATACCAACACTTGGGAAATGGAGGCAGGAGGATCAGGAGTTCAAGGTCAGCTTTGGCTACACAGCTGGATTTACTAAGACTGTCTTTTAACAGAAACAAAAACAAACTACAAAGAGGTGAGGTAGCATGATGATCGTGGTCTAGAAAGTTACTAAGCAAGAGGAAATCAAAATTATTATGATGAAATGTCAGCTGCTTTTAACCGAAGTGACAGGGATATGGGTTCTCTGTTCACTGTCAATGATCTCTGTGTGAGTTTTCAGGATGCCAGAACTGGAAAATGATGGAGGCCTATGTCCTTTTTCCTTTTTTTGAAAGCTTTTCTCAAGTCCTACTGTTTAGGGATGGAATGAAAGAAACACCCAGGAAGGGCTGGAGAGATGGCTCAGAGGCTAAGAGCACTGACTGCTCTTCCAGAGGTCCTGAGTTCAATTCCCAGCAACCACATGGTGGCTCACAACCATCTATAATGAGATCTGGTGCCCTCTTCTGGCATACAAACATACATGGAAGGAATGTTGTATACATAATAAATAAATAAATCTTTTTTTTTTTTTTTTTTTGGTTTTTCGAGACAGGGTTTCTCTGTGGTTTTGGAGCCTGTCCTGGAACTAGCTCTTGTAGACCAGGCTGGTCTCGAACTCACAGAGATCCGCCTGCCTCTGCCTCCCGAGTGCTGGGATTAAAGGCGTGCGCCACCACAGCCCGGCCATAAATAAATCTTTAAAAAAAAAAAAAAGAAAACACCCAGGAAGACAAACTTCTACACAAAAAGGGAAATGTGCAGACGTCTGGACAGGAGTCCATGCTAACTAGATTGAACCCAGGCAGGTCATATCATGTCACAAGAACTGCAATAAAAGATAACTTGTTCTTCCTCTTCCAGACCACACTGTGATTAGTGATGTCTAAGAATACACAAGGATGGAAGCAGGAAAGGCTGATGATAAACAGATCTGTGCTAAAATATTTAATCACAGTACCCAGCTCTCTTTAAAATTAGTTTTGTTTTATTGCTACAATTGCTTATGATCATTGCAAGTATATTGTTCCAAATGTGTGAAAGGGAATACACTCTGGATCACCTACCTGGCTTCTCTGCTATTTTATACTTCATGCTTATCTAGCCCCATTTACCCGGGAAACAGAAGCACTTTCTCAATATCTAGTACCTGGAGTGGCTCCACCCTAGCACAGTGAAAGGAAATGACAAACTGGACATCTAACAGTGCCCGAGACCCAGGGACTTTCACCATCACAGCTGCTATGAGAAGCTGAGGCAGTCAGGACTTCACTGGTTTCAGTTTTCTTACGTTTGAATGGTAGTAGCTAGTGGGGCAGTGGTGCGCACCTTTAATCCCAATAGTTGGAGGCAGAGGCAGGTGGATCTACAGAGCGAGTTCCAGGACAGGCGTGGCTACACAGAGAAACCCTGTCTCGGGGGATGGGGTGGTAGTAATAATTGTCCCGCCCAGGAGGAAAGGTGGTGGCAGACTGCAGGTTCAACACCATACAAAGGCTTAGGAATGGAGACTCCTGACCACTACTGCTCCTGGACCAGACTGAACAATGGTTTGTCTCTATAATTTTATTTTTATTATGTATGTACATGCATGTACATGTGCCACAATGTACAAGGGGAGGTTAGAAGACAACTTGTGGGTGTTAGTTCTCTTCTTCCACCATGTGGGTTCCAGGAATTGAACTCAGTCAGGTCCCAAGGCTTAGGGGTAAATGAGTCTACCCATTGAGCCATCTCAGTGGCCTCTGTAATAAATTAGAACACAGCTACTCAAGTTTATATATGGTCTGTGGCTGCCTTTGCACTAAAGTTGAGTAGCTGCTACAGGCCATGCTTTACAGAGACAAAAGTACTTAATATATAGCCCTTTACAAAATATGAATTCTGCTTCCTGTTCTAGATTACTATCGGCTTTTGTTGTTTTGAGACAAGTTCCCCAGGTTTGCCTCAAACTCATTATTTAGCCCAGGCTGGCTCTGAACCATCAAATTTTCCTGCAGAGATTAAAACCCTATGCCACCTGTCCACCTTTCTATTGACTTAACTCATAAATGTGTATTGAGCAATGAAGCTGAGCTAGAAAGGGCTCTGGAGAACGTGTGGTTTAATGCCTACCCTAGATAAATCAAACTGTGGCTCAGAAAGGTAGAATGAGGTAGAAAGGGGTTGGATGGTGGTTTTTCTAAAATTAAGGATGTATTTAAAAACTTTATGAAAACCTATTATTTTGTAAAGCATATGTGTATACACAATATCGTTTCAGAAGACAAGAGTTATTAAAAAAAAAATCCCAGTGCCAGGTGGAGGTTTTGACCAGAGAGACCTGAGACCCCAAAACAATACAGGCTTTTGCCATTGCTCTTGGTTGCCTACCCTAACTAGATGTTAAGTCCCATATTGCTGAAGGCACAGCACTCTTTGGTTCAAGACAGAGAAATCAGGCTGGAACTGACACAGATGGCTTTGGCCGTGCTGGAAGGTGCGATGCAAACCACCGCGGGGAGAAAAGTCATGAATGCTATTTCCCAGTTATGCTACAGCACTGACATGCTGAGCAATGCATGCTCACCTGTGCAACGGGGGCATGCTTGTTACACAGGAAACCAGATCACTTTCTGACTGGGTGTGAGACCTGCCCCACAGGAGGGAACAGTAAACCTAGTCAAAACCCTTGACTTAGGAGCTCATAGGCCCTATGGGAGGACCTACTACTGCTGTCTTGCTAAATGGACATCTTGTTAAACTGCTTCTAAATATTTATGTTTACACCCATAGATTAATGCTGCTCTCAACCTTGGGAAGCAAAGTTTCTTTTTTGTAGTGGGCATTAAAGCAGACTTATGTCTGGTCAAAGTGGTAAGAGTAAGTGCCCTAAATGGGACATCTTATCAATCCTGCCAAGGCTCAGGGAGTTGAAAGAATGTAAGACCCAGAGGATGAGGCGTCTTGAGAAACGCTGTCTCCTCAAGAATTCCCAGCTTCCGTGGTTACCTGCACAAGATCAAGTCAGCTAACTTTCCAGCACGGATGGTGGCTGCAGGGTATGTTGCCTGAGCCTACGTAGATAACTACACAGGCGCGTGCTTATGTGTGTGTGTAACACTAAGTGAACTTCGTGGGCTATTAAAAAAAACATGGAAATGGAAGAGGGATTTGGGGCAGGTGTCCTCAATAGGGAACACAGAGAAGTTGGGGGTGAATTTGACCGAGATACACTGTACACATGTAATTGCCAATATATCTAGGGTTACACACACTTAACTAGGGCTTCCGGAACACACCCTATGAAATCTGAAAGAGGTGGAGTAGACGTGGCGACATTTAAGCTATCTGTGCCCAGCCTCAAGTCTGAATTACTCCTGCTCAATCACTACATTGTGCAAAGGAGGTTGATCACAACAACCAGATCTGTGAGCGGGAAGGAAGTTCCACTGGACCTTTGTATGCTCTCTAGCAGACGGTCTGGGACCCATCGCTGCAGGGGCTGCTGGGAGCGGCTCACCTTTGAGGCTTGATCTGGGCTCGGTACTGTCACGAATTTCTGTCATCCTCACCAACACCCCATGCAACAGGCAATACACCCGTTTAAAGTGGCTTCAGGGGCTCCAAGAGAGTGATTTGCTCAAGGTCAGAGAACTGAAAGCCTGCCTTTGATACACTAGACAACACAGCCAAAGGTGACACAGCAGGTCGAGGGCCTAAGCTGGTCACCAATCCCCAGGCCCCCAAAGAAATTCAGACCCGAACTTTCCGACTCTGAACGTTTCCTGCTGGAAGTTTTTTTGGCCCCCTCTTCCTCCGCACCCCGCTCAGGACCCGCATCTCCGGGTTCCCGGGCGGTCGTCACCGCGGTCTGGGCGCTGAACGGGCTCCACTCCACGGCCGCGAGCCTCCCGGGCGCCGCCTACCTGCCGCGGGGCAGTCAGGGTCCCATCCACGTCGAAGAGGCAGAGAGCAGCCATAGCTCCAGTCAGAAGACTCGTTGGCACCCGGAACTGCACCCGGAACTTCCGGGTCCACGCCGAGGCCCGTAGTCCAAGGCACGACGGGAAGAGGAGAGTTCCCTAAATGACTCACAGCTGATATAGGATTTGAACTACAATCCCCAAGAACACAGACTCATTTTTTTTTTTTTTAGTTAGCGCATGCGTCTTTTTAACCACACGCGCACGCGCTCTTCAAGTTTCCGGGACGAGTCCGTTTATTTCTCATAGCAGGAGACGGGATCATGGTAGGACGGGCAGGTAGTGGGCGGCGAAAGAGGGTACGCGTTCAGGGGATCCTGGCCGGGCCTCGGACTGGCATCAAGGATGCCAGGGCCGCCGATCCGGGAGCTCCGCCGGTGGAAGGCCGGCCTCCTCCGGGCCCCTTGGGTCACGTGGGCGGTCGGAGTCGCTGTAACTCCCTGAGCGCTCAGCAAATTCAGGGCCTAAGAACCGTGTCTCCCTCAGCGTATGCTGAGGCTGTGAAGAAGGATGCACAGCTAGTGTCTGTGGGAGCCGGGATCAGAGCCTTCCTCTGACTGTAAAGCCCAGAAGTTGCTCACTATGCTACTCACCCAGAGAATCATTGTGCAGTGCTTTGGGGGCCCCCGCGTGTCTCACTTCTCTGCTTTCCCAACCAGGCTAATAGAAAGCAGTTCTCCTGACATAAGGCAGCCGGAGAACTGCAGAGGTTCTGTGACAAGTGCCCCACAGTTTTGGTGCTTGGGTTTCCCACTATGACACCGATTAGTTTACTCCTTGAGGAAGTGCCTCACAGACTTAGGGACCCAAGTTCAAGTTTCCTGTTGGCTCTCAGAAGGTCTCTGCTGAATGTCTGGAACGAAACCTTTCCAGTGTTTGTTTGGACCTGCCTAGGGGAAGGACTGGCCTGAGAACCAGACTCGCCCCCATTCATTCTGTTGAGTTGTCTTGCCTTTTTTCTTTCTTTCTTTGATGGGGGTGGGGACTTAGTTTTTTAACTTAAAAAAAATGGCGGGCATTGGTGGTGCCCACCTTTAATCCCAGCACTCGGGAGGCAGAGGCAGGTGGATCTCTGTGAGTTCGAGGCCAGCCTGGTCTAGTTCCAGGACAGTCTCCAAAGCTACAGAGAAACCCGGTCTTGAAAAACCATAATCATCATCATCATCATCATCATCATCATCATCATCATCATCCTGTGTGTGTTCAGTTCGTGTGCAAAATGCTTGTGCCATGGCCTGTGGGGGTCAAGGACATCCTTGCATGAGTAATTTTTCTTCCTCCACCATGTTGGCTTCAGGGATCAAATTCAAGTCACCTGGCTTGGTGGCCAGCACTTTTACTTGATGGGATATCTCACTGGTTGGGATTAGGGTTTATACTTGATGGGATATCTCACTGGTTGGGAGTAGGGTTTATACTTGATGGGATATCTCACTGGTTGGGATTAGGGTTTATACTTGATGGGATATCTCACTGGTTGGGATTAGGGTTTGTTTACTTGCAAAAAGAAGAGTATGGTACTTATCCAGAGTAGAATTCCACAGAAAATATTTAGCTGTTTAGCTTTACCATTCCTTTGGCAGCCCTGGCGGCTTTCCAGGCTTGCCTGGAGCCTGTCTAGGGGCTTTGCTTCGTTTGTTGTGTGCTCATCATGGTTGAATTCTGAAAGAAACCTCTCCTTTCCAGGCTGTCCTCCTTCGAGCCGTGCCAAGGTTTCAGGGCCCAGCTGTGTGGGGGAGGCCTCTTCATCGACTGTGGTACTGTACTGGGCAGGGAGATTCCAGAAGGTGGGTGGGGAGCACGTCCCCCACCTCACAGGAGAAGCCACCAGGCACAGAGACTGAAAAGTTCCACACAATCTACCGATTCAATGCCATCAGAGTACTTGGGTATGTGTCTCGGCTGAAGCTGGCTCAGACAGCTGTGACTGTGATAGCCCTGCCTCCGGGCTTCTACTCGTACTCACAGGGCCTCATGACCCTCAATTCACTCTGCCTGGTGAGTGGGATTGCCTGCTTTGCCCTGGCCATGCTGTACTGGATGAGCTACTTCTTCAGGAGGCTGGTGGGCATCCTCTATGTGAATGAGTCAGGTACCATGCTTCGAGTGGCCCACCTGACCTTCTGGGGATGGCGACAGGACACGTACTATGCCGTGTCAGACATGATACCTCTGACAGAATCCAAGGACCAGGCCCAGGAAGTGTTTGTACGCATCCAGCAATACAGTGGCAAGCAGACCTTCTACCTTACCCTGCGCTATGGCCGAATCCTGGACAAAGAACGTTTCTCACAAGTGTTTGGAACCCTGACCACACTCAAGTAAAGAACAGCAACTAGGCCTAGGCCTCCCATATCCTTGGTTACACCGGATTTTAGAGGGGAAGGCCAAGAACATTGATGAGGCAGAAGCTAATACCCATAGGCTGGGACTGAAGCTCCACGGTAGACTGCTCATATAGCATGCAGGCAGTTCAATCCCTAGAGCTGCATATAAGCAGGCATGGCTGTGTGTGCCTGTACTCAGCTCTGGAGATGGAGGCAGGTGCAGAAGAAGGTCAAGGTTGTTGTGGGCCAAAAAAGAAGATGTTAACCACCTTTAGGAAAAAGCCCTTGGTTGAACATTGTGCTCAATAGGGCATTTTAAATACTATGCCAAGATCACTGGGGCAGCTCACTGCTATGAAACCAGAAGGCAGAGGAACATAGACTTGGAGTCTGGAGACTTGGGTTCTGCTGGACCTCAGCTCCTTGACCTGGGGCAGGCTATTAAGTCTCTGAGCCTTGAATTGCACTGGGAGATAGAAGAGCCTTCTTCTCTCGTGGGGATGGATGTAAAAATAGCCAGTAATGGCTGAGGCTGGACATGTAGCTGTGTGGTAGAGCTCTTGACTAGCATGTATAAGGCCGTAAGTTCCACCCTCGGCTCCACAGAAGAGACATACCAGTACATGCTGCATGCTGTGCCAGGGCAGCAGCCCAGAGTTTATAGCACTGAGGGAGGCTTCCAGGTGGCCTGCCCCATTTGCACCCGCCAGCTTGGTGGCTAGTGCCGAAGCCTAAAGTGGGCTTGTTTTTCTCCCATCAGGAAGTCACTGTGATGTGGGATGTCCTTCTGTATATGTGTTGCCATATTGGTTGGTGAATAAAGCTGCTTTGGCCTACAGTAGGGCAGAATAAACTTTGGGTGACTGTCCAGGCAGCATAATGTCTCTGTCAATTCTAGAGTTTTGGAAGTTGCTTACAAGATACTCCTGTTTACATAGGTAATATATCCTTCTGGGGTCTTTAATGGAGTTAAAGACTAGATAGTTACAGCTTTTCTTAGTTATGATGAAAGATAAATTAGATATAAAACTTTAGACTCACGAAGTATTGTAACTAATTTTTCCTTGGTAACTGTTGTATATGTAATTTTGCTATGTTAAAGTTAAAACTTTCCTTCTTAATTAGACAGAAAAGGGTAGATGACGGGAGATGTCCTTCTGTGTGTGTTGCTTTTATTGGCTAATGAATAAAGCTGTTTCAGCCAATGACTTAGCAAAATGTAGCCAGGCTAAAAGAGATATAGAAAGTAGGCGGAGTCAGAAGTGCCTGGAACCTTCCCAGTAAGCCACAGCCTCGTGACAATACACAGATTAATAGAAATGGGTTAATTTAAGATATAAAAGAAATACACCTAAACTATTGGCTGGTGCAGGACAATTCTGTATTCTGTCAATTATGTTTTAAATAAATGCTGATTGGCCAGTAGCCAGGCAGGAAGTATAGATGGGATAACCAGACAGGAAGTAGAGGTGGGGCAATGAGAACAGGAGTATTCTGGGAAGAAGGAAGCTCTTTCCCCAGTCCTGCACAGACCACGGGAGAAGCAAGATGTGACCTAACCTGCTGAAAAAGGTACTGAGCCATGTGGCTAACATATACTAGAATAATGGGCTAATATAAGTTATAAGAGCTAATACGAAGCCTGAGCTAATGGGCCAGTCAGTTTATATCTAATGTAGACTCTCTGTGTGATTTCTTTGGGATTTACCGGCTGTGGGAACTGGGAAGAACAGAAACCTCAGCAAGCAGGCCCTCATGTTACAATGGCCTTGTGATTATTTGGGTCTGAGCAGTCGGGAAATGAACAAGCAGTCTCCGCCTACATCACTACATGCTGACTGAGGTAGGGACAGCACCAGCCAAGAATGTGTTGACTCCCAGGAGTGTCAGGGCCACTCACATCCTTGTCATCAGGATAGAGGGACTCTATCCAAGCAACAGTCTGTCAGCTGAAGGAGACTGGATATGCTGCTTTTCATAACGAATAACCAACATGCTTATTAGGCGAATTGTATTTGCATAGAGAGGAAAGCAGCTGCCCACCCAAAGTGCTTTGTTTTATAATTTCCCTTTATTTATTTGTGTGTATACTACTGTGCATATATGAAGGTTGGAGGATAACTTTTCAGCGTCCTTTTCCTTACAGCATTCAGGTCTTGGGGATTAAATTCAGGTTGTCAGACTTCCAGCGAGCACCTTTACCCACTGTTGCTCGAACTATTCTTCCCTGATGTAAAGGAAACAGAGCCTGAACAAAGATAACAACAGACGTGCCACAGGGTGTTGGGGGAGTTGCGGGGAGGACACACCATAAGGCCTCAACTACACAGAGAACTACAGGCAACATAAGAATTCTGAAAGCAGGAGAAATTGTCTTCCTCAGGGAAGAGCACACCAATTAGCTATCCACTAAGAAATGGTCGGCCCTGAAAACATACACAATACAGACTAAGCAGGTTCTCTTCAGAAACATACATGTGTGTGGGGGAAACGATACAATTATACTGCAATCACAAGAATCAAAAGTGTACATATCGAATTGTAACCATTCGTGTTGTTCAGGGACATGAAGCACACCCTCAGTGTTGTCCAACCATCACTGCTGGCCAGTTCTAATGCTCCCACTGCAGAGGCCAGCCTGTCTGCAGAGCGGGCTCCAGGACAGCCACAGCTACAGAGAAGCCATCTCAATAAACCAACAAAATAATGCTTGACTGTCCCAAATAGAACTTCAGTACTCAGGTGTCAGGGACCAGCCCTGACATAAATCATTTCTCGTATCAGAGTGGAGGTGTGGGAATAAATGAAACACATTTCACATGATATCATCGGGAGGGAGTTTCAGGGATCCTTCTTGAAATCCTAAATTCACACCCTGAAATTCACCCGTGTTTATTTTCCAAACAGCTTTTATATCAAAATGTAAACTGAAGGGGAAATTTCTTAGCATTCTGTTTCCTAGGTAGTGGGGCGGGGAGGGAGGAATGACTTAGGTCACGTCTTGCCTATCTATGCCTATTTTGTCACGTTCTGCCCATGCCCATGTTGTCACATAGACTGAAAGACACCTCTTCCCTAGTAGACACACTGGGCCATGAGAACACAGCCGTATTCGCAGGGTGTCAGAGACTGTAGGAGCTGCAACACTGAAGTTAAGTTAGCCATGAAGAGCATCTAACTTTAGACTAAAAAATGTGAATAATAAACTTGGGGGGAAGGAGGGCTCAAAGGATAATGGTGTTTACCATCAACCCTGGCAGCTTGCCCTTGAGCCAAGGGACCCTGACAGTAAGAAGAACTGAGTGCTTTGGGCTGTCCTCTGACAACCGTGGACAGTGGCATGCACACACCTCTCTTCTCATATAATAAATAAAAACCGAACATCTTTGATCTTGTTTTGAACTCCCCCCCGCCCCCCGAAACAGGGTTTCTCTGTAGTTTTGGTGCCTGTCCTGGAACTAGCTCTTGTAGACCAGGCTGGCCTTATACTCACAGAAATCTGCCTGCCTCTGCCTCCCAAGTGCTGGGATTAAAGGTGTGCATCACCACCGCCCGGCTATGATCTTGTTTTAAGACAGGGCCTTTTGTATTTTGTAGCCCAGGCTAACCTCAAGTTTTCGCTGTAGCTGATAATGATCTTGAATTTGATTCTCCTGTTATTGGTGTTATGTTATTGGTGCAGCCTGGTTGCACCCAGAGGGCCACAAACCAGTTTAGAATTCCCAGTTTAAGGGACTGGGGATGTAGCTCAGTATAATGCTGAATCCTGGGTTCAATGTCCAGCACCACATAAATTGGTTATAATGGCAGATACCTGCAATCCCAGACCTTGGGAGGTAAGAGGATCGGGACTCCTTGGCTATTTAATGAGTTTGTGGTCAGTCTGGCCTAAATTAGACTAGATGTCAAAACAACAGACAAACCAATAGGAAGTGTCTGCCCTTTTGTTTGCCGTTGGCTCAGTTTTATGATGGTAATACTTTCAAGACCACCCAGGCCCTTCCCTGTTATTCCTACTGCCAGGTTCCCCAGGTGACTGCAGCGGCGAGTCACCCACTACAAAGCTGCTAAGCCTGCCAGGGGCGCGCCTGTGAGAAGAGAGCCCTTCCTCGCCAGGGTAGCCTTTGCTTGCTCTGTGGTCTGCTCACGAGGTGCCAGCAGAGGGCACACGAGTGTACTACTCTTCCCTACACCTCAGCTAAAATCAGAGCTCTCTCCACCAGTAACAGGACGTGGGTACGGTTCTGTAACCTCAGCAGGGCAGTGGTTTGAGCTATTTAGAAAACAAAATAAGAGCCAGGCTTGGTGGTGTAGGCCTTTAATGTCAGGAGGCGGAGGCAGATGGGGTTACTCTTAGTTTGAGGCCAAAAATAGTCTTAGAAGTTCCAGGTCACAAGAGAAAAAGGCTTTTAGATTTAGACCGTGGCTATATTGGTGATTTGTCCCTTTGAAAAACAATTCTACAATAATAATCGTCTTAGTTCTTTTGGTGTGTGCGTGTGTGTGGCTGGGTGTGTGTGTGTGTGTACGTGCGCATGCTCGCTCATGTGGTGGTGCTGCTGGGGTTCCAGTTCAGTGCCTTGTACAGGATAGGCAAGCACTCTACCACTTAGCCACATCCCCAAACCCTTTGGGCTATAGCAAAAATAAGAGCCAGACATGGTTGCTCATGCCTAAAATCCCAACACTGGAAAAGCTCAGGCAGGAGAGGCCAGCCTGGGCTACAGAATGAGACTCAACCTGCCTTCCAACAAAGGCATGGTTGGTTACACATGACTTTGATCATCACTTTGGGAGCTGAGGCAGGGTGATCAGGAGTTCAAGATTATCCTCAGCTACAAAGCTCTAGGCCAACCTGGGCTATCAGAGACCCTGTCTCAAATAATGAACCCAAACAGAGCCAGCCCACGGCCACCACACCACATCCTGCAGACGGGGTGACTCGACGTTCCTTTCTTAGCACTCTGGAGGTGGGGAAGTGCAAGAAGAACCTTTTGTGGTCAGTGACTGACGGTGGGACCTCAGACTCCCAGAGATCCGCCTGCCTCTGCCTCCCGAGTGCTGGGATTAAAGGCGTGTGCCACTACCACCCGGTTTAAGTGCCTTAACAATAGCTATACAAGATGCTGGTGGCACCTGAGCTTCTATCAACTGAAAGAGTTAAAAGATTAAATAAAGGGTGGGTGAGAGGGCTCTTCAGGTAAAGGAGCTTGATGCCAAGCCTGACAGTCAGCATTCAGTCCTGAAGGCCCGATGCCCACAGCTTCTCCTCTGTGGCACACACACACTCACACCCATTGACACTCACCAAATTAAATATATAAAATTGTAGTAAAAAAAAGATTAAGTAAAAATGTTTTGGTGAGGCTGGGCATGGTAGTGCACTCCTCTTATCTCAGCACTTCTAAGCCCGAGATAGGATAATCTCATTTGAGGATAACCTGGGCTACATGAGACCCTGTCTCAGAGTAACATAAAATGTAGGCAGACTTCTCTCCTGCCAGCCAATTCCCAAATAACCACACAGAGACTTAATTGTAAGTGCTTGCTTGGCCGATAACTTAGACTTTTTTTTTTAAAGCTAGCTCTTACAACTTAGACTAACCCATATTTCTATCTGTGTTCGACCACGTGGCTCGGCACCTTGTCCCAGTATGGCATGTTCGTTTCCTGCTTCCTCTGCCTCTTGCTCCCAACTCCTGAGAACTCCGTTCTTCTTCCCAGCATTCTTTCCGCCCCGAAAATCCTGTCTCGCTACTGATCATTTAGTTTTTTGTTTTTGTTTTTTATTAAACCAGTCACATTGACATATACACACACAGTGTAAAGGAATATTCCA